TATAATACAAGGACTAAAAGTTAATTTAAAGTATCGACTAAATAATTACCCAAATCTAATATCGAAGAAATGGTACAATCACTTTCTCCTTCACAGATATGACGTAAAAAAATATTGGCAATGAAGTGGTCTACACGAAATTGCCTTATATGAAAAATGTTTTCAGAAAATGCGGAAATTTAATATATGTATTACCCTTACATTATGAAATAAATTTAAAAATATACTCCACAGAAATAATAGGGCAGAAATTAAAAAGGAAAAAACAGGCAAGGCAAGTATAATTTACAAATTAGAATATCAATTCACGTATTATTACGTAAGAGGGACAGACAGAACTCAATGGCGCGTTATACTCGTAGCTTCCTGGGGAAATTTGAATTAGGGGTCCTATGTAGTGTTGACTTCGAACATTTTTCTTCGGGAAATTTTGGGAGAAATTTTTTTTATAAAAGATTGATTTGGTGCCCCTTATCGGTGGGGATACCGGATAATTGCCCTTTATGCTATAGGATAATGCACCATTGACAGAACTTTAGGAAAAAGATTAAAAGAATACGATGCCATTATATGTCTTAAATATACACAATCATGATCGTTCCCTGAACACTGGGTGGTGCGTTCGCGCCTTGCCCAGACGGGCTGGCCACGTGTAGTTTTCCGGGTTTTCTCCACGTCTGTAACACTTGAATAGAGGCCAGTTACTCTTAAAAGACCTCCAAGAATGCATTATTCCCTGCATAACGACCATTATAAACGCATACAACCACTATTACATGACAATTACGTCACACTTTACCACGGAGTGATATAGCCTAGAAGCTCATGCCCAACTCAGCCAAGACAAGACAACCATCATGGAATCATACGGAAAAGATAGGAAGGATAATAGAAAAATCGGTTAATGTCCAGATACGTGGACTGTCATGGCGGCATTTCCTGTTTTCCGACTGCCAGCCTCGACACCGGAGCGGTTTGGAGACGACATGTCACGTGACGACGCGAGCGAACGTCGGCGGCTGTCATAGCGCCTCATCGCTGATTCCAGCAAACAAAAGGAAACAGTGGGGACGCACGTTCTAACCTAACCTAACCTATTCTAATAATATAATTGGTAATAATTATGATAATTTATTAGAATAGGTTAGGTTAGGTTAGAACGTGCGTCCCCACTGTTTCCTTTTGTTTGCTGGAATCAGCGATGAGGCGCTATGACAGCCGCCGACGTTCGCTCGCGTCGTCACGTGACATGTCGTCTCCAAACCGCTCCGGTGTCGAGGCTGGCAGTCGGAAAACAGGAAATGCCGCCATGACAGTCCACGTATCTGGACATTAACCGATTTTTCTATTATCCTTCCTATCTTTTCCGTATGATTCCATGATGGTTGTCTTGTCTTGGCTGAGTTGGGCATGAGCTTCTAGGCTATATCACTCCGTGGTAAAGTGTGACGTAATTGTCATGTAATAGTGGTTGTATGCGTTTATAATGGTCGTTATGCAGGGAATAATGCATTCTTGGAGGTCTTTTAAGAGTAACTGGCCTCTATTCAAGTGTTACAGACGTGGAGAAAACCCGGAAAACTACACGTGGCCAGCCCGTCTGGGCAAGGCGCGAACGCACCACCCAGTGTTCAGGGAACGATCATGATTGTGTATATTTAAGACATATAATGGCATCGTATTCTTTTAATCTTTTTCCTAAAGTTCTGTCAATGGTGCATTATCCTATAGCATAAAGGGCAATTATCCGGTATCCCCACCGATAAGGGGCACCAAATCAATCTTTTATAAAAAAAATTTCTCCCAAAATTTCCCGAAGAAAAATGTTCGAAGTCAACACTACATAGGACCCCTAATTCAAATTTCCCCAGGAAGCTACGAGTATAACGCGCCATTGAGTTCTGTCTGTCCCTCTTACGTAATAATACGTGAATTGATATTCTAATTTGTAAATTATACTTGCCTTGCCTGTTTTTTCCTTTTTAATTTCTGCCCTATTATTTCTGTGGAGTATATTTTTAAATTTATTTCATAATGTAAGGGTAATACATATATTAAATTTCCGCATTTTCTGAAAACATTTTTCATATAAGGCAATTTCGTGTAGACCACTTCATTGCCAATATTTTTTTACGTCATATCTGTGAAGGAGAAAGTGATTGTACCATTTCTTCGATATTAGATTTGGGTAATTATTTAGTCGATACTTTAAATTAACTTTTAGTCCTTGTATTATATTTTTTCCTACGCAAAGAAAAAAAATGTGGGATTTTTTCTGTATATATGGATGTTAGTATGTGGGGGGTGCAATTTTGTTCACTAACTTTAGAGTTTAATTAATGACTCCTGTGCCTTTTGTCAAAATTTTCTTTTGCAGGAAGGTTTGCGTATTAGGGGCATTGTTGCTGCTAAATTTTGGTGGTCAAAGGTGGAGGGGGTGGAGATCTAGACGGAATCACGTGTCGTATTTCGAGTGGGGTCGAATTTAATACTTTATTCGTTATTAGTATTTACAATTTTTTTTCTATAAAAAGAAAAAAAAAACTATAAATACTCGTCTCCACCCTCAAAATTAAGCTTTTTGCTATTTTATAAAAATTAATAATATATAATGATTTTATAATAAAATATTATAACAGATGGCGCTACACAATTAAAAAAATATTTCGTCAAATTTAATCATAAATAATTCATGTAATTTAGGTCCCATTTTAGTTTCTATACTTACACCTTCTAATTATGTAAAAATATTCTATTAGTCAATTATGCGTTTTAAGCTTACGAGTGTATTATATACGAGCAATTATGCTTACGAGTGTATCATATACTAATTCTATATTTGGAAATTTTCTACTAAATTTAATTTAAGTTTAATAAATTTCTAAATACTGTATTATAGGATAGTAAACTAAACTTAAAATCAACTAGTGGTCTAGATCAACGGTGGGCAACCCCCGGCCCGCGGGCCAGCTACGGCCCGCGAAAAGTTTCTATCCGGCCCGCGAGATGTTTAGAAGAAATTATAAATAAATATATTTCGATATAATTCGTCTAGTTTAAATTTAATATTATTTTCTGAAGCAATGACAGGAAAAAATAAGGGAGTCATTTCCTTATTCAAACAAAAAATGGGAGTACAGAATTTTTCTAAATTATTTATATCTCATCGCATCATCCATCAAGAAAATCTATATGCTAAAGCTATGCAATTAGAAAATGTAATGTCTGTCGTATCCAACTACATAGTGCTGTTTTTATTGTGTTTAAAGTCACTTAGATTTTACAAATAGGTGAGCCGTTCA